GTTATTGAGTTCACATCCCAAAAACTCTCATGAAAACGCATGGAAAAGAGAGGAGAAGAGAAAAGGAAGCTTATCTAGTGGTTTGGTAGCTTCAAGACACTTCAAATGGGTGCCAAAATGAAACTATAGCAATGCCTCCACATTCCTCTTTGATTTTCCTCTCAATCTCTCCCTCTCTTTTCTATTTGAGATGTAAAATTTAGATTCTAAAATCCATTGCATTTGCCACAGTGAATGAGATAGACTAGAAATCCCTACTTCAGCCTAATTATCTAGGCCAAAGTGGCCCAATAGCTTCCTAGGGCTATAACAAAGCCCCATAAAAGGCCTAATGGATTCAATTGTCATCAAATTTTACCAATTAATGCCATTAGAATTGAAGTTGATTAATTAACCCTAGTTTAAATTTTGGGATGTTATAACGGCACATGGTATAGAGGAATCCATTTTGCCTTAGCATGCATTTTGGGCCAAGTCTAAGCCCAAACCCTATTTTGGGTCTCCTACAACCTTAATAATCAGACCTAAGCTTAAGTTACAACATAATTATAAACCTAGAATTATAATCAAACCTAATCTAAATAACCCTAATTAACAATATTCCACCACTAAGACCTCAAATTCACATATTCATCTCAATCACCAATAATTCCTCCATTTACCCTCAATGTCCACAATTAAATTCCTAAGTAAGAAAATTAGGACGCTACACTAATTATGCTATCAACATGTCAAGTCGAGAGCGGCAAATTATTGTTGAGGTAAATCATCTCTTTAAAATTCTTAGTCAAAACTTGTTAAACGAATCAAATGATATTGAGTTGGTATTTTAAGATATTGATTAAATCTTTGTGACTATGGTATGGCATAAAGTAATACCAGTTTCATTTTGTATATTATTTACTAACTTATGCTTATGCTCCCTTTTTATAAGGTAAGAATTTCCATATTTATTTGAAAGCCCTTTATGAGATGTTTAAGTAATAGGTTGTAACAAGTAATTAGATATAAAAAGTTTCAATGTTTGGTGTCTAAGTCGATAAGTTAATGGCTCAAATTTCAAATTTTTGCATATATCAATATAATCATCATCCTTATTCCAGTTTTTCATTGGTTATTTTGTTTGGATTTTTATTTTGAATTTTATTTTATTGATAGTTCAAATTCAAAATTTCCTCTAACACCAGCCTAGGTATCATCATCATTATATATATATATATATATATAGGAATAATTTCGGTGTGGTTCTTATGATTCTATGCTTCATTTTGCTTTTCCCGTGATTATATCGTTTTGGGAGTCAGGTTTGGATCTTGTTTTAATAATTTATGCATTAAATATAAGATATTACTTTTACTTGCCTTCAACTAAATTTAAATCTTTAAAATTCAAATTGACTTATTTAAGAATATTGTTACCAACTCAAAACGGAACACCAATTCATGAAACATGGAGGTGCTTGGGTGGAGGGTCAAAGAAGTTATCGTACAATACTATCAAATTAAAAATAATCATGATAAAAAGAGTGCACCAAATTTCAATCTTTGTGTTTTTCGGATTTTTTAGATTAAGACAAGGAAATTATAATATTAGTAGCAAAAATATGCAAAATGACGATGGTGATAGGCCTTCTAATTTTAAAGGTTGAAAATTTGCAAAAAGATAGAAAAATCCACTAAAATATGCAAATGGCAATAAGTTCCCGCAAAATACCATAATTCTTCTCGGGTCCTTAAAAAACCTTTTTGACTTAATATTTTTAATAAAATAACTAAAATATCCCTAATTTAAAATAAAAAGTGTAAGTGTGCAACAATTCTAGTCCAAAAAAAAGTAAATATCAATTACTTCTTTAATTTAAATAAGGACTATATTTCTTCTAGAAATGATTAGAACAAAACAAGTAATTATAATTTTTTTATTTAAATTTTTGATTCACTGAAATTCAAATATTATAAATATTTGTGACTATTTTAATTTAAGTAATGACCTTTTTTTTTCAATGACTATAATAGAATAAGTAATTACAACTACCTTATGCAAATGTTATATTCACTAGTGTCCAAATGTTGTAAATATTTGTTATTACTTTAATTTAAATAATGAATACTTTTAATTTCTTTTAGTAATGACTAAAATTAAATAAACAATTATAACTTTTTCTTATGTAATTTTTTTATTTACTGAAATCCAACTCTCTTTTTATATCATTAGGACGGATGTCGACATAATTAAAAAATATGATATTAGTTTAAAATTTTTTAACTAATTTATTGAGTAAGAGATTTAATTAAAAAATACCTTAATTTTTTAAGTGGAGTGAGTAACTATTTGTAGTCTTGCCAGCCGAAGGCAACTTGCTTTGGTTTGTGAACATAAATCGAACCTGTGCTATTTATATTTTAAAGATATTTTTAGGATTCAAATGTCAGGATGAAATGTGGAAGCTAGACCGTGTGTCCGTCACTATAAAGTGCAAGTGATACTTTTCTGTTGGCTTCAACCGGTGGTAATATTAATAGGACAAAGTTTGTGGAAAAAATTAGAAAAAATTAATTATTTTATCCCTATAATTTTAATTAACTAAATTCCTAAATTTTAACTTAATATAACTTAATTCATATTATAAAACTTTGATTCGGTTAAAATTTAGTGACCTAATACCGATAGTTTTAATCATTTAAAATATTGGTTCTTACATTTTAAAAATTAAAATTAAAATTATCATAATTATTTCTTGAAACTTAAGGACCAATGTTTTTAAAAGGATATAAAACCATAAGAATTTAGTTGCATAGAGTTAAAAATTAAGAATCAAGTTTTAATCAAGTTAAAATTATATGATTGAGTTATACTGAATTAAAATTTAAAAAATAAGTTATAACTGATTCAAAATTATAGGGACCAAATAGAACTGAGTTATGTTGAATTAAAGTTTAAAAATGACTTATCAATCAAAATTATAGGGACTAGATAATTTTTTTTAAAATAATTGTTGAAATTGTGTTGATGGACTGGGCTGGACTTGGCTTCATCCTAGTACACTGTCCCGGCCCAGCCTTCCGTTGTTTAAATTTTATTTTTTCCCCTAAATTAGCCTGGCCCGAAGTGACTGAGCCATACTGGCCTGACCAGCTTGATCACTTGAGCACCCTTCACTAAGAGAAAAGTCATGATAATCTCCAACAAAAACCAACGTGTTAGGGACGAAGTGAGTTATCCGGGCTTGTAATGCAATGTCAGTGTCATAAGATGCTACTGCAGAACTTAAACTCTCACCCTGCATGCTAAATGCATTTGCAAAGCAAGACTAATTGTGAGAAAGCTGTCATGTACCTTTTGAAAACCATAGCTTTTGACTAGGAAACCTTAGGGTAAATATGCGAACAAGTGGGTTTAAGCTAGTGGCAAACTTACCACTGGACCAATTCATAATTCAAAGGTAAAAGATGAGACAAGCTGACCACTGTCATCAGAGTGATTCTTTCTATTTATGGATGTTCAATAAACGCCAAAAATCCTATTCTGGAGTTCATAAAAGCACACCTTGACAATATGGTTGATCTAAAGCATAATAAACAAATAGATCTTCTGGACTGAACAAGTCTTGCTGGGGACAGAATTGAAATGAAAAACCAGCAGAACAAAGCATACCCAAGTTTCTGATTTTGTATTTGCCTTTGAAATTCAGATATCAACAACACTTGTGCATTTGAGGAATTGTTTTGCTCATGCTCAGAGTGACAGATGACTATTCTTCCATTAAAAAAGTGACAGATGACTAGAATGGCAAAAGTAGCTGTGATTCTGTAAAGCGTTAGCCAACACACAACTATGAAGCTGGAAAAACTGAGAGAGTGAACTAGACTAAAGTTCCTTTTTTTTTTTTTTTGGGACCAAAATGAACTAGAACGTTGAAACTGCTGAATTAAATGTTGATAGTTCTGTTGTAGCATGTCCATTATCTTCTTCATGGCTCAAACCTCCTTTAAAATATGGTTACGTTACAAAATTACTCCATTTTTGTCGCAAGAATGAGCAACATAAATAGGCATAAATTCTGTCTAGTTAGGAAAAGGAGTGATTCAGCCAAAATGCTTATATCAAACAAGTGCCTAAAACACAGTGCATTCTTTTGGAGTCCAATATAATTGGCTTTACCATCACTTGCTAGCTAATATCATGATTAGTTAAAGGCATAATTTATTTTGATTAGATAGCGGCATAATTAATCAGTGTATGTCTGATATTAAATAACCAAGTTGTGGTGTGGTCCTGTGGCTGTGGGCTACATCCCAGCTGGGTCACACACGTGACTTGCCCGTGCGTGACATAACGTGCAGAGATCAATATATTCATAGCAACAGCAAGGCACATTGTCAACCCCACTGTTCCCACGCTCCCAGTGTCATCATTGTTTCTGCACACAAAACAGTAACTTGTGTCACCTTGTCTGTTGTGACAGTTCCCCAGGTTTAAAGTTTAAAAGTAAGTGCCAATCAAAACCAACAAATAATAGTCCACCCGTTTTATTTATAAGATATATATTAAAAAGTTTATTTTATTTCATTTATAAATTATGATATATTTTTTTAAATAATATTTAAACAATATTTTTTAAATTATTTATAGTATAATTTTTTAAATTTATTATATAAAATACATTTAAAATTTTATATACTTTTATCTTTTATATTTTCTTTATATTAATACTGATGTTTGTGAAAATAATTTACAAATATAATATAATTGAAAAGGTAAGTTGCATTATTTTAGTATCAAGTATCGACAAGCCAGATTAGATAAAATATATCACATACACATGTTAATATGTTAGTTGTAAAACTTCATCAGACCTGTCCATAACAATTCTTTATCATCCAGTCCATGTGCGAGGTTTTTATGTTCCTCTTCCATCGTTTTCAACTTTTAGCCAGAAAAGTCAGGAATCAGGATAACGCTGGTAGCAAAGATGCCAGAAGTCATGAAACGAAGCCATAGAACAATCAAAGCATACTTTGTTAAAGACAATAAACCAAACATACATCTCCTAATACAACACAGTAAGAGCACTGAATAGTTCACAAGCATTCTTCTTAATACGTGCTTGCAGTAGGCTCACTAAATTTACAGTCAAAGTTGCTACTAAAAAGCTTGGTAAAGCAGATAGACATGCAGGTCAATTCGAACTTTGTTTCAGCCTTTTAGCACTCTATAAATCTGTCACTACTACATGATTGAGCAGCTGCTGCTAGTGTTGTCATCACTGAACATATGAGCTGCAGAATGATCATTCCCAGGGTAATAATTATTAGGTAAGGCATAGGAGCAATTGGGAGGGATGTAGTTGTTATAGTTGTAGCAGTAATAGCCTGTGTTAGGAGTAACTACAGGGGACCTTTGATACATCATCTGGGGTTGTTGCTGGAAGGCATGCCTAGGATGCATATTCATGTTCATGTTCATCAATGAAGATGCTTGGTTGTTGAATCCATTCATGTTCACCACTGGTGATGGGTATTGATGACCAGAAGTGGCAAAAGCTCCATTGGGTAGTCCTGGAGAAGAGGATCCTGTAAATCCACTGAAATGGTTGCCCAGAACAGTGGCACTCCCAGGATTATTAGGACTAGTATTGCTGTGAAATCCAGCTAAACTCATCATAGTTCCAATGTCGTTAGCCCTTTTGGGGTCTCCAAGATTGAGTTTTTCTCCACCACCCATATGCGCATTGTTCATTTTCAGAGAAGCCATTGATTTTTGGTCAAGCCCTCCAGCTGAATGAGCAGTACCCTTGTTTTCCATATTCTGATTGGGGCCTCCCTTCTTGCCATTGTTGTGATTTCCACCGTTGTTGTTCATCTTGCCATTGTTGAAAGCAGCAGCAATGGCTCCTCCAGCTCCTTTTTTTGCACCATTAGCACCAGCTGCTGCTGCTGCTTGCTGCCTGAGCAGATTCAGCTGATTTGCCTTCTCGCGGATGAACCTTAGTTCATCGTCATCTTCATCGTCTTCCTCATCATCATCATAGTAGCAGTCATCATCATCCTCAGAACTAAATGCAGGAAATTTCTTATGGTTTTTCAAGGCTGCCTCAAGCCCCTTCACTGCTCCAGCTTGCTTCTGCCCTTTGTTGTTGTCATCCTTGACACAATTATTGTTGTTCTTCTGCTGCTTTTGGTTCTGATTTGTCTTCTGAGATGACCAGAGCTCGGCATGTTTACCGGCTCTAACCAGTTTCTTGATCAAGCTCTCTGAATCCACAGTTCCTGAAACTGTCACTTTCTGCTGCTCTGCTTCCATTTGAACTTGATAAACACCTGCAAAAAAGACAATGAGCCAATACACGAAGAGGCAAAACCTCAAAGATCAATTACAAGTAGTACATTATCATGTATCCAGGCCTAGCATACAAGCTATATCACACGCTGGGACAAAAAAAGTGCCAGCATTACGTGAAATTCTTCATATCAAACAAACACAAGCAAGAGTCTAAATATTACATTCAGAAACCGAACATTCTTAGATTTATCATCTATAAAGCTTATTTGTACCAAAAAAGAAAAACTATGCTAATAATTGCAGATAATGCTACTGATCCATATTAGAATATTCTGTACAATTGCTCATGTGGCAAGGAAGACAGCCAAGACAGTGAGGACAAGACAGAATAAGGAAAACAGAGAAGCTAGATAAAAATGAAAGTGACGACCTTCAATTCTCTGAAGGAGTTTCTTCACTTTCCGCTTACACCCATCACAGTGAATGTTCACTTTGAGAACACAAGTCTGTAGATGAAGAAACAAAAGCATCAAACAACAAAAAGAAGACCCGAACTCAACACATTGTTGTGATGGTAGAAAACGAAGGAGAAAGTGAAAAAGGAGGGAGCTTTAGAATAAGACAAAGAGAAACACCTGGATTTTGAGGAGCTTAAAGTCTTCTCCTTTAGTCATTTCTTCAGTGTGCTGTTTGGAACGAAACAGGATCTCTCTTCCCTCTCTCTCTCTCTCTCCCCCCTTCTGTGTCTGTGTTTTGCTACCAAAAACCTAGGCCAAGGAAGGCAGTTAGGGAGGGTTGTTGCATGTGATTTTCTACTTTCTACCACTCAACAGATCTTTACTTTCTGCTTCCTCTCTTTGGCTAGCTACTCTTTTCAACTTGTTTTCGAGAACCAACCGAAGACAAAAAGCAAAGAGCAAATGGGGTTGGAGTTGAAGACTTGATAAGCATTATTTTAGATTATAAAATGCAAAATCAAGGAAGCAGAAACGAATAAAATAATAATATATTAGTGAGAGATTAGAGATAGAGAATGCCGAGACAATCAGTGAAAAATGAGCAACGGAAGAGGGGTACCGCGGGGAACTCAGCTTCTGTCCTCTGAAAAAAAGCCTCCTCTGCCTCTAATAAGACAGAGGCAATCGTTCAGATTTAATTTCATTGATTCACATTTAATATTTTTATTTTTTATTTATATTTTTAAAATAAAAAATATATAAAAATTATAAAAAAAATAATAAATGTACTTATTTATTTGAGAATCTAATTTTAATATAAATGTTTTAAATTTAATATTAAAATTTTTTAATTTATTCACTGTTCTATTTAAAATATATGTATACTATTTAGAATATATTTAAAATTTAATTTAAATTTTTTATATTAAATATAAATAATTTATATTGAATCTAAACTGTTAAATTGATAAATATATTTATTAAAAAATTTTACAATTTTTATATATTATTTATTTTAAAAATATAATAAAAATATAAAAATAAAAATATTAAATTTAAATTGTTTAAATTAAATTTAAATAATTTAAATTAAGCCTCTGTTCTAAGGGAGAAGTAGGGGCGGCCTCTCAGAGAACATAAGCAGAGTCCGCATTGCTGGAAGAGGGGAAGAGAGAGAAGAGAGAAGAAAGAAAGTCAGAGAGAGAGAGAGATAGAGAGAGAGAGAGCTCTGAACTGATATGATGTGATTCAACGTTAAAAACTGAGGAGGGACAACAACAAAAGAAGAACAGCGACTAGACAATACATACCCAGCTCTTCGCTCTGTTGGCAATAATGTCCTTCGTTTCTCGTTGTTTATTTGTTGAGTTTTCCTATCAATAATTCAGTATTTCACCTCCCCTCAAAATCTACATATCTATGTGAAATACAATATCTATATATATATACATATATATAAATTATAGATAATACAACTTATTTTTCCAGAAATTCTACGCAAGACACCTATGAACATAAATAAAAATATTGATTTTTTAAACCTATATGCAATAAAAATAAATAAAAGATATGACTTCACAGAATCGAAATAGGAAAGTACGAAGGGAGATTCGCTGATGACACTGATTATCACAGTCACGCATAGGCACCAGGATATACGAGACATTTAGATCTCTTTTATATACACGCACACATGGTATTTGTTGAGACTTTCCAATAAATAAAACCAGCTTAAATTATATATAATGACAAATAGCTCTAATACATTTAAAAAGGAGAAAAAATAAAAATGAAATAGCAAAACAAAAAAAAATAAAAGGCAATAGATAAGCATTTGCTTGAGTTTAAACTTTCTATAAAAACCATGTTAAAGTTTATGAGTAGAGAACGAATGTTACTCTTTTTATTTAAAAATATAAAATATTTTTAATTAAATTTTATCTTTCAATAAAATAATTATTTATTTTTAAACTAACCCTGTCTTTTTATATTTATCCCTATCAAATATCCTACAATAAATATAAAATTATTATTAATAAAGATATTTTTAAAAAAAGATAATGATTGCAACTCGAAAGATTAAAAATATTTTATATTTTTAAATGTCTAACTCTTTAAAAAATATTTTATATTTTTTATTAAAAAAATTATTTTCTATCATTGAGCTAAAACTTCTAATTGAGAGTTCATTTATGAAACAGATTAGCCAGCATAAAATGATGAGATCATGCAAACAAAGAGTCCTAAGGTCGGGAGTGGCAGATATAACTCATAGTAGAGTAGGTCAAAGACATAGAATCTTAAAGTTGCTCAAGGCAAAATGTGTTTTGACCAAGTGAACTTAACGGCCTATTACCTTTGATGAGAAACAAGAATGATGCCTTAAGAGAATGTCATTGGTAGGTAAAACTTCATAAAAAGCTTCAAAAAAAAAAAAAGACCAACATTTAGAAGGGAGTTAATCTTCCCAAGAAAAAAAGGGCCATGAGAAATTATCATGATGAAAGTTGCTCATTTCCCTTGAAATTGATTTAAATCCATTCTTAGTATTGTCAGAACTAGAAGCACATCCTTGCTGTATTAACTTGTCATGATGCCTCAAGAAACAAGTAAGGGCAAAAGAAATCTTCTCAACGGTTTGTCTAGAGGAAATTAGATTCAAGGCATCAACATTCCATTTGAAAGGGAACCCAGGAGAGTTGGAGGGAATAATGAGATTAGAGACTTTGAGTTGCTCAAAAGTTGAGTTATTTGAAAGAGAACCTTCTTAAAAGTTATCAATATATCTGATATTCTTCCTATTTTTAATATTTCATTTAAGTTGCTTGATTATGATGTTTGAATAGCTGAAAATAACTTTCCATATCCAAAAAGTATTATGAGGAACTTTGAAAAAAGAAGGTAAGTTAAAATCCACATATTTCCTCTTCAGAAAAGATCCAACAAGTGAATCATTAAGAGATTAAATTAACCTCTCAATCTATTTCGCTAGAAGACTTTTGTTAACTAAATAAAAAGGCCTAAGACTCATTCCTCCCAATTGTTTGTGAGAAAAGAGGAGATTCTTGTTTTCCAGATATATCCTTTTTTTTTCATCTTGAATACCCAAAAAAAAAAATATCAATGCATTTTGATTCAGTCTTGCTACAAATAAACAAAGGTAGTTTAACACATGAGAGCTAGTAAATATTTGCAGCGGAAAGTACTGATTTGATCGGAGTTAATCTAGAAGCTTGAGAACAAGTAGATATCTTCCAAAAACCCAATCTTTTGTTAATAGTTTCCTTTATTTGGGAGTATAATAAGTCAGACTTATCTTTACTTAGGTCAACTCAGGTTCCAAGATATTTTCTATGCTTGTCAGCTAAAGGAAAACCTACGTAATTCACCCATTCTTCTTTGAGAATATGATAAGTATTAGGACTCACAATAAAAAAAGATTTAGCAAAGTTAATTTCCTAACCTGAAATTTTACAAAATTTCTCTAAGGTAGCTTTGATGGATTCCAAATTTCTTCTTGTACACCCAAAGAATAATAGAAAATCATCTACATATAGGAGGTGGGAAATTGGTTTTGCGGATTGACAAACCTTGATTCCTTTTCAAAGATCTCCCTCTTCTTGATTATGAATCACACATGATAAAACATTAGTCTTTAAAATGAAGAGATAGAGAGATAAAGGGGTTGCGTGTTTTCTATTTTCAAAAACTGTTTTTTGTTTTTTAAAAACAAAAAAATTTAAAAATTTGTTTAAATAAGTATTTTTCATTTAGTTGTTTCCAAAACTGTTTTTATTTTTTGTTTTTAAAAACAAAAAATAGAAATAACATTAAGCTGTTTTCATTTTATTTTTCTTATTTTTAAAATACACTAAATTTAATTATTAAAAATTATAGTTATCTTAATCAATTTTTATTATTAATTACCATCATTAACTGTTTATAACCATCATTATTAGTCTATTTTTTAATTCTAAAATTATTTTTTAATTGATATAACCAAACAAATTTTTATTTTATTTTGTTTTAAAAACAATTTAAAAACTACATAACAAAACAGTTTTTAAGAATAAAAATGAGAACATAAACAGAACAAGCCCAAAGTATCCCCTTATTTGATCCCTCTATAAGGCCTAATAGTCCCTAACAGGTTTCCATTAAAGTGAAGCTTATATTCAACAGCGGAGATGCATTAATGAATTAGGTTAATCCATTTCCATGAAAAATTCATTCTAATCAAGATTGTAGAAAAGAATGACCATGAGACTTTATCAAAGGCCTCGGAGAAGTCTATTTTAACAGCACCCAATTTAGTATTTCTTAAATATGCATGGTGAATTTGATGTATAAGATATTAAGATCTGAAGCCAAAAGAATGTTATGAATAATCAACCTAACCTTCAAGAAAGCACTCTAATTTGGGAAGATCATGGAATTAAGAATACCTTTAAGACAATTGCAGAGAGTCTTGGAGACAATTTTGCAAGCAGTGTTGCAGAGACTAATTGGGTGAAGATCCTTGAAATTCTTGATTTGACCACCCTTCAAGATTAGGATAATATGACTTTTATTTAAGATCTTAAAGAATGAACTCAGAAACCCAAATGTGTTTTACCATATCAACTATGTCCTTACCAACAATCCCCTAGTTCTTCTAAAAGAAACTTGCATGAAAACCATTAGGTCCAAGAGAAGAGTCCTTGGGAAGAGAAAATACAGCCTCTTTAATTTCCTAATCAGTCAAAGAAGTTGTTGTATAATGTCTTCATGAGAAATTTGTAGGATGTGAATATTCTCAAGCTCCTCCAACATATCAAAGACTGATAAAAGGTTGTTACAAGTGAATAGATTATTGAAATAGTGCCAACCCATAGATTGAGTTTCCTTCTAACATTAAGTCCAAGAGCCATCCTTTCTTTGTAGAGTGCTAATGAAATTATTGTCTTTCCTTTGATTCACTATTGAATGAAAGAAATTTGTGTTGCATTAACCATCAGTAGGCCATTTAACTCTAACCCTTTATTTCCAAAAGCTGTGCTAACAGTCATAGAAAAATTCAAGCTCATGTTGCTTTTCAAGTAGACAATTAGTTAGATCACCTTCATTAACCCCATTAATCTTGGATGAGATGGAGACCACTTCTTGTTCCAAATTAGCAATTCTAGAACGTATGTGACCAATTTTGGACTTGCTTCAGTTAGTCAAAATATTTAAAGTGCTCAACATTTTTGCATGAAGCCCTGGGGGGAGGGGGGGACCTTAAAAACAAAGTTCTAGCTTAACGTTGTCAAGTTGCTGCATTCCTCAAATTTGTAACAAAGGGGCTCAAACCTTTTAATTTTCTTTTTCTTTGCCAAAGGAACAGATGAAGAAAAAGCTTATATTATATATAGTATCAGTCAGAGTGTATATCCAATTTTTTAAATTTTATATAAGACTTTATTTTACTTATTTAATTTTATAAAGTATTTTTTTAATTTTATAATTTTAATACTATTAGTTTAAAATAATAATATTTTTATACAAACTCTTATTATTTTAAAATATCAAAATTAATTTGTCAATCTTTTGATCATTTTTTATAATTTTTGAG